TTTTATTACTTATTATGAACTATTGGAATGTCCGCTATGCGACGATAATAAAAGACTCAAAATCAAACATATAGTTTTTTTGTATTTCAAATGTAACCGTCTGAAATCGGAATAAAAAATAAAATAAATAAAATTCAAATAACTCAAAAACGGTTAACTTCTGGATAGGACATTATAGGACAAAATCGGTTGCTTTTGACCTAATCTATCACCCCTTAACAGGAATACGTGACATTACAAGTCACCCTGTATAGCTAAGCCCCGATATTGACCGAAAGTTTTTTTAATGGTACCTATTTATTTGCTTTTCGCATGCAACAGATTTCACGACAAATGTCAAAACACACATGCAATAACCCAATTTATGAAATACTGGCTTTTATCCTCGACTTGTACGCTTAAAACTGTTACTAACATGATATATTGTTTTTAAGTAATTCTATAACTTGAGATCGCGTTCGAGGATCATTGAGGGCATTCGCAAATTGACAGCCAACTTGCTTGCTTGTAATATTTATTTATACACCTTTGGTTTAAAATATAAACAGTTACGACAAACAACATATTAAGCTTCTGCAATTAGTCTGAGTCAACATAGAAGATTATCTGTTGACCTTTGTTTGGATGATATTGTATTTGTGTTTGTTACAATGAAATTTAACACACAGACAATTCTATACATATTCATGTATAGACTACTTTTATGGCAGAAAAATGTCTCATTTTCAATGACAAAAAAATATCTCAATTCGACAAAAATGCACAATGGTTGGTATACAGTGACGATACTTATATGTTTTGCAAGTAAAACCGCGGAGCGGAAATCTAGTATAAGTACAAAATTGTGACAGACCTTTAGGCCACCTTAGTTCACCCCTGACTCAAAATTTCTTCTTAGATTAAAGCCACTCTGAATAACCTCATTATGTGCTCTTTAACCTCCTCAATCCGATCCTGTCCCAAAATTCATTTTAAAACCACATATATCGCCTGTAAACTACCTCCCTGTCAAATTTTAGGTATATAGTAGAAAAATGGCGTCAAGTAGGTTGACTCTGCACTTCCGACGCAACGCCGTTATCAGTTTGTGAAGGATTATGTTCAACACAAACTAGACCTTCTGAGAAAAAAGTCAGTCAAACAGGTCCATACAATTAACCCATAGATATTATTTCCTTGCCCTAGCGGTAGTGCATCTGGAAACGTTGCCTTCTCCCGATACTTAATTCGGCCAGATGTGGAAGCGCTGTCAGAGCATAGGAAACACTATGCTGGCAGAAATACGTGAGACCACACCAGAAGAACAGAACACTTCGCAGTTGCGGCCGGTAGGTAAGAGATTCGTCTGCTGAGAAGTCTATTTCCATGGCCATCGGGATCAACACACTTAACTTGTCTTGATTTTTATTAATGGGGACGGTTAAAGTACATCGTGTTTCAGACTTAACCTACCACCAGAGAAGATATACGTAACATACCGATAGCCAAAATTGAAGCTGCAGTTTTGTCTACTCCAGGAGAGGCTCCAGGAATGCATAGAGCGTGATGGTCAGCATTTCGAGCGTAGACAGTAAAAACCTTTCTTTTTTAAATTTATTTCTTTTGGGCCACAATTGGACATAAAAAAGAAATTCCAGAAAAATTAGTTTAAAATAAATAAAAATTTAAGGGATTTCCGTGTACAATTTTCTTTGGCCGAAATTTTAGGTTAAGAACAAGATATCGAAATGCTGTTTTCGCGAGCTTGTTTAATCATCATTTAGCTACTTTTCACTTTACTTTTTACCAATACATTTATTTTTTCAAGAAAATTACCATTTCTGTGAAACTAACAAAACTTCAAATTTTGACCAGTGCCCGTCATCATTAGTTCCTAAACGGTACCGAGCTACCGACACTCATCACTAAAAACAACGTTATACATTCATCATTTCAATCTTCTCGATACCGTTTCTGGTTAGGAGTTCATGATGGACGGGCACTAGTCAGTACGATTCGGAGATAAAAATGTAATATAAAGTTCTTAGTTGAATGTCACGTACATCGTACTGTAGAAGTTCCTCACCTTGTCACGTACCAAAATTAAAACCTTTTTCTCGCTATTTTGATCACTTACCAGTAATTTGAATTTCTCTTTATCAATGGTAGAGTGCCGATTTCTATACCTAACCCTTTTTAATGATTTTCCTGTGGCAAATATCATAGTTTATTGATTGTATAATTTTACAGGTATTATATCTTTCTTTCTCAGCGACTCAGTTTTTTTTGAAGTATTTGGGACACTAAGCTTATAGTATTATTAACGACTACCTAAGAAATTTCATCATAAAGTATCGTTTGTCCCTCGTAGAGTTAGTTTTCTAGGGTCCGCCTATTGGCAACAAGTGTCACTCTCTCTCTACGTTCTAACCTATATAAGAATATTTGGTTTCATATCAAGATACCTTCTGTTAGGAGAGACTGTGGTGTGTGGGTCATTTCGTTGGTAATAACTTCCTGATTCTGGGATATTAGAGCCACAAACACCAGTTTATGGAGTAGCACCGTTTTATTTTGTACCTTACGTTTGGTTGTTTTGATCTGGGTGCTAACCCCTTCATTTCGTTATGGGATTTTAACCATCAGTAAGTTCTTTTCTTATACTATCGGACCACGTGCATTAATGCATGTCCTGAAGAAGTTTGTTCAATATCGGCTTCCTCTTAGTGGGAAGGCATGGCGGAGAACCACCATTCACACTCCTACAGCTTTGTTTTGTATCTGCCTTGTAGCTGCTTTACAGCCGATTTTGCTGGGAGCCCCCTTGACAAAAAACCCTGATGTGAACAGGTAAAATATCATTTTAATTGTGTAATTTATAGATATTAATATATTGATTTGCTGATTGAAATTCTTAGAGTGTACTAAATTTTGTGTGACGTATACAAATATGATGCAGTGCCTACATGTCACCTTCTTTTGGTCTTACTCCATACATTGATCATTTTGATTTTTGTGCTGCCGTATGTTTTTGTAGGACAAGGGAGAACTTTCTGAGGGTATATTCCTTTAGTACATTTTTATCTTTTTTTCCTTTGCTTTACTTTTGTTGTAAAAGAGAATGTAAATGGTTTTTCTTCAAGTTCAAGCGTTCAAATGCGTAGCTTTGTCTCAGACAGAAAATAGATAGTAGATTTTTCTCTCTAGGGTGTTTTTATACAGTAAATTTTGAGAACGAGGCAAGCATCCCCCCACTTTGTGACGATCCCCACGTCATTGCCCACTGCTGGCCATTGATTTTTGACCCGAGCGTTTATGAACCGCAACTGGAAGAAGACCACTGTTCAGATAAGCTTAGGTTTAGGCGTTAAAATATTTGTATAGCCTTCGTACGTGTACCATGGCAAACGTTTTGCAGGGTTGATTATCACGGTATAATAATTTTATTGTGCGGCAGTTGAATAATAAGATTTTTTCCGAGTTCCGACTAACAACTCGTGGATTTGTGGATTAATCTGACTCATGTCACTGGCGCTCTTAACCCCCCTACCCGCCTTATTAAGCTACGGCCTAAATTTACACGCCACTAGACAGCTGTTTTGAATTGACTGGCCCTGAAAAAAAAAAGGAAAGAGGAATCACACCACCATTTCCTTTTGTATATAACTTTAGATAATTATTTTACCAGAAGATAATGCCCGTTCTCATATTGACATGGCTTCAATTAACTACTTCAATAACGCTTGTCAGTCCCATTTTTTGGCCTCCTAGAGAGACCTTCCGCTCATTGAACATGTGTGGAGTATGATGGGAACGATAGTGACCTATTTACCTCATCCTTCATAATTGCTAGAAAATCTTCGGAACTAAGTAGTTTGGATGAAAAGATATAAATCACCTCCTCAGAAGCATACCCAATGAACGTATATGATATCGGGGTTCACAACATATTATTAGGGAATTCCAGCGATGTAGCAAATGTTTTCACTTCAATACTTGATTAAGAATTCTTGCTTTTGTCCAATTGTATACAAAATTTCATTCAAATAAAATCAGTTTATTGGGCGTTCTATGTTCTGTGTCACTGAGTATTGTAATGAAAACACCGTTTTTACTGTCCAAAGACAGTCTAACACTAATTTATAACACTTGCAACTGATTTATAACAATGTCGACTAGACTATTATTCCGTCTTAATCCCGCGCTCGCTGTCCACCGTGTCTTTAGAGTCGATATTTATGTCCCTATCGACGAGCCGAGAAACATTCCAGCGTTTTCACGAACTTCCATGGAAGTAGTGTAGATGGCAGCAGATGCCTCCAGATAGCTCTCGAATATTCTTGAACCTCGGTCAAGTCTGCAAGCGCTGATTTCCGGTCGCTCAAGTATGTTTACCTAGCGTCAACATCACGAGGCCGCTTCATGCCACGCAAGGTCCAGCTATAAGAGAGCGTTACAGTTTATTGACATTCACCCATCAGTTCCGAGCTAGCAGCCGTTGCGAGTGTATACTTGCACGACTGCGACCCACCCGGACATATTGAGCAATCTTATTGCAATTTTCATTGCGATAGATTGGTTGTTTGCCATCTACGATGGCAAAAATTGAGAAGCTGGTTAACCAGCTGAAAGAAAAGAAGGATGCTTTCGCCATGCTGGAAGAGCAGATGCGAAATCTGCAAGAAGCCTTCTTGCAGGCCAGACAGGAGATAGAGGACCTGAGCGGGAAGCTCCGCAAGGCCAAGAAGAAGGCCGCGAAGAAGACAGGAGAAGAGGAGGAAGAGGACCACCAGGCTACGTCGGACGAGATGGACGCCCAAGAAGAGAGCACTCAACGAAACGAAGGAATGGAAGAAGAAGCCGAGAAGAGGACGGACGACACCGATTTCAGTGTCGCCACCAGACGGAGGAAGCGGGTGCGAGTTTCCTCCTCCTCCGAAGAAGAAGAACCCAGGCAGCCAAAGATGCCAGCTGCCACCAAGAAGAGAGGTCCTAGAGCAACCAGGACCACCGAGGCCCCCATGGCAGGAACAGGAGTTCCGCCAATCAACATCGAGGGCACCGCTGATTGGTCATCCTTGAGTAGGATGATGAACAGCAAGGGGATTCAATTCTCCAAAGCGAGGACGGCGGGTACCAGTGTGAAGGTATTCACAAATACACCAGCTGACTACCGTCAGCTGGTCGCACTGCTGGAATCCATCAAGCGGCCCTTCTTCACCTATCAACTGAAGGAGGACAGGATGGACCAGAGGGTCATTCGTGGGCTACCCAGAGAGATGTCAGTCAATGACATCAAAGAGGATCTAGTGAGCCAAGGCATCGCAGACGCCGAGGTTCAGCAGATGACCTCAAGGACCACAAAGAAGCCACTTCCGCTCTTCCTCGTCAAGACGAAGATGCTGGAAAAGCTTGCAGAGATCCAGAGGCTGGCCATGCTCACGGTCAGCTTCGAGAGGAAGAAAAAGTCTTCCGAGCCCAGCCAATGTTACCGCTGCCAGCGGTACGGGCACACACAGCGGAACTGTCGTCTCGCTGAACGGTGCGTTAAGTGAGGAGAGGACCACAACAGCACCAGCTGCAGTCTGCCAGCGCCGCCAACAGGGCAACGAAACGCCAAGTGTTGCCTCTGTGGAGAAGGCCACCCCGCCAACTACAAGGGATGTAGTAAGGCGCCGAAGAAAGCTGCTTCTGCCCCCAAAGCAGTCCCCACCACAAATAGGACTTCTTACGCTCAAAAAGCGAAGAAGTCTATGTCCACTTCTGCCCCAGCAGCCGCCACTGCTACTGGAACTACTGCGCAGAAGCAACACGGCGATGACAGACTGCTAGCAATGATGCAAGCCATCATAACCCGCCTGGATGCACTCGAGGCCAAGATGCAAGACAAGCACTAGACCCGAAATGTCTACAGGTCAAAACGTAGAATCTCTACGCATTATCTCCTGGAACATCAACGGATTCAGGGCACGGAAACCAGAAATCCAGGAGATACTAGACCAGTACCAACCAGAGGTGATGGCCATCCAAGAAACGAAGTTGGATGCTGCCCATAGTCTGACGTTCCCGCGGTACGAGACGTACCGCTACGACAGAAGGGGCAGAGGTGGAGGAGTCGCATTACTCGTCAAACGTACCTTGACGAGTCATGTCCTCGACGATGCCGCAGACATAAATGGGGACGGAATCACGGTCTAGGTCCATCACAACCACCGTCCCTACAGAATCACCTCCCTATATGTGCCACCAGGGGAGGCCCTAGACGAAGATGACATCGCTGACCTCCTGAGAGGCCCAGGAGCACGCATAGTCATCGGAGATCTAAACTGCAAGTCTCCGGCATGGAACAACAACGTCGAAGACAGGAATGCAAGGCAGCTCCAGGAACACGTCGATGCCCTGGCGGGGGTCATCGTCGGTCCGGAGCAACCAACCTACATTCCATTCGGCCTTGGGCGACCTGCGGTACTGGACATAGCCATCCTCCGCAACATCAGAGAGGAGTTCGAGATAGAGACCCTGGTGGAAGGATCGTCGGACCACAATCCGATTCTACTAACACTTGGCACAGGGTCTAGAACTCGAGATAGCTTGAGCACCAAACGGACGAACTGGAACCTATACAAATCCAACGTCCAAAGGAACATCACTCAAATTCCAACCATCCGATCAGCGGAGGAACTGGACAACGCAGTAGAGGAGCTGGAGAATGCTGTCCTGCGAGCGCACGAGGTCAGCACCCGCTCCGAGACTACGGCAGTTCCTAGACACCTAAATGGTCCAGCACCGCACCATATTAGGCACCTGATCAGGGAGAACAGAAGACTCAAGCGAGAACATCTCCAGCTGTTGACAGAGGAGTCGAGAGTTGCGCGAAACAGAGCATCGTTAGCTCTGAAGAACGCACTCGCGGAACTCCAAAACAACAGATGAAATGCTGCCTGTGCAGAACTAGAGACCCAGGATGGTACGGCCTGGTCTATGCAGCGAAAATTTCGTCGTCAGCGCACCACGATCCCCACTCTTCACGGCCAACGCGGCTTGGCCTACTCCAGTGAAGAAAAAGCCGAAGCATTCGCCGATTCGCTAGAATCCGAATGCAGACTCAATTACCATGAAGACGAGGACGACAACCACGAGGAGGCCGTGGAAGTCGCAGCTGAAAACATGAGGAGTCGACCACCTGGCCAGGAGACGGATCACCCCTCCAGTCCAGAGGAAATCCGTCTGATCATCCGCAGGTTGAAGGTCAGAAAGGCGCCGGGAAGGGACGGCATCAACAACAGGATGCTGAAGAACCTTCCCACCAAAGGCATTGCTGCGCTCACCAACATCGCCAATGCCACCCTGAGACTTAACCACTTCCCGCGGCGGTGGCGGGAAGCCCAGGTTATAATGCTCACCAAGCCAGGCAAGGACCGGAAGTTGCCCCAGAACTACCGGCCCATCAGCCTGGTTTCCTCGATGGGCAAAGTAGTCGAAAAGGCTATCGCCGTTCGACTAGAGAAGCAGGCAGAAGAACTGCAACTTCTCCCCCCAGAGCAATTCGGCTTCAGATCCTCGCACAACACGGAACTCCAAGCGCTACGACTGACAGAAAACATCACCAGCGGCTTCAATCTCCAGGAGGCAACCGGTCTCGTCCTGCTGGACGTGGAACGAGCCTTCGACCGAGTTTGGCACGATGGACTCATCGCCAAAATGGAAGCCGCCGGAATCGATGCGAACATGTGCCAACTAATCCAGAGCTATCTAACACAAAGATGGTTCACGGTGAAGATTGGTACATGCCATTCAACAAGACGTCAGCTGGAAGCAGGCGTGCCCCAGGGGTCAGCCTTAGCCCCCCTGCTCTACAACATCTATACTTACGATGTGCCGAAGACAGCTGACACAATGCTGGCCCTATATGCAGACGACACTGCTATAGCCGCCAAGCATAGACGACCCGAGATCATCCGTAGGAGACTACAAGGTGAACTGGACCAAATTCAGGACTGGTGCGTGAAATGGAAAATCCGCATCAACGTCCAGAAGACGCAGGCAATCTTCATTCAACGAAGAAGGATTGCAAGACCTCTCGAAGCATCCATCTTCGATGAAGATATCCAGTGGAGCGACAATGTCAAATATCTGGGGATCGTTTTTGACAAGTCCCTCACCTGGAAAGCGCACATAGAAGCTGTCATCGCAAAAACCAGAGCAGCCATGGCTCAACTCTATCCATTACTGGGTAGACACAGCCAGATGCCGCTAGCGACCAAGCTACGGCTGATCAAGGCCATCGCCAGACCTCAGCTCGCTTACGCCTCCGCGGTCTGGGGGTACGCTGCCCCCAGCTACCGCAAGCGACTTGCTGCTCTAGAGATGAAGCTACTCCGGATCGCCACCAATGCACCTTCCTACGTAAGGAACTCAACCTTGCGTAGAGACCTGCATTGGGATACCATCCACGAGTACATGAGGAAAAAGGCGGAGAAGACCTTCGAGAAAGCTCAGGACCACCCGAACGAGCAGCTACGATTCCTCATGGACTACGATCCGGACGAGAGGCCTCGCAACCGCAGAACCAGGTACCCCAGACCAAGGTCCCAGTTGGCACCCGCTAACTGGAACCTTGACTAGGAGACTAGGAGAATCTGTGGCTGCTCCCCCCCCCCCCCACGGCGTGGAAGCAGAGGACCAGGAACCACCGGGACCAGGACCCACCGGGACCAGGACCAACCAGGACCAGGACCCGCCACGACCAGGACCCACCAGGACCAGGACCCTTCAGGACCAGGACCAGGAACAACATATTGGTAAGAGGACTTGAAACTCTTGATTTTTCGAAAACAAGAGTTTCAAGAGAAACTAGCAGACCCTCTATCGTTGATCGCTTAACGACATCGATAGAATGTGCGAGGTAAAGGGAACCAACCCGGCGTTCCCAGAGACTGAAACACATGAGGAGACGTTGTAGCAGACCGCAGGTCACGCACAACACATGGCCTACCGAGACGCTGATGAGTCGGGCCACGCGGAGGTTTAGGGTTTAGTGGGTATTAGGTGATCTCTTCAAGACCCTGGAGCCCCACACACGTCGTAGCTCGTGCTATGGTATGGTGCGTAAATGCATTCCCCCCTCGTTAAAAAAAAAAAAAAAAATGACATTCACTACTACCAGATGACTGAGTTTTGATGGTGTTGTATGGGGATGTGTTGCCGGTCACGGTTTTGCTCATTTAGGTACCCTTCAGTCCACACTCTTGTCGCCGATTGCGGTAGTTGAATACGCTTATCAACTATATCTATGACGCGACGTCAATAACATTTTAGCAATAGCTGTATCTTGGATTATAGATACGGTCCTTTTTTTTAAAGAAGTATAGATTTCTAACGCCATCTATTTGGCTTGTTTGATACCCCTGGCGCCAAAACATGTCTGACAAACACTTGCAACCGACGGTCGTTTGTGAATATTCATATTTGCTGATTTGTGAAAAAATGTTTTACTCAGTAAGTATTATATAATCTTAGATAAGCCTTCACGTCCAAATAATTACTTTCTGCTAGTTGGGATGGCATTTATAATTATTGATTACTTTATGAGATCTATAGCGAGTAAAATTTAATCTAACCACACTTTTTAAAAAGAAATAAAATAATTTATGTCATTCATACCAGTAGGGTAATTCGTAGCACCAGCTGGTTTACTAAATCGTACCGGTACAATTTAACAGACTCGTTTATTATTTTTCAGTGATGTCTGACAAAGGTTTAAAATATGGAAAATGGAGCGGGGAAAATATGAAATCAGCAGTTGTACTATACAAAATGAGAAAATTTGAACTTAATGCCTAAACAAATATTCTCAGTTAGCCGTAAGGATAATTTTCTGTTTTATCAATATGCAATATGTTCATAATTGGAGATTCATTTGTACGTATGTTTTGAGTTATTTTGTTAGAGTATAATTTTATTTCACCTTTGTTTCTTATTTATGATCTCTGTAATCTCCCTATTGTAAATTGGATAATTAAAACGTTTAAATTATCACGTTGTTTCAGTTTCCACACTTGTTCCACTAACAACGAAAATCATATGCATTTTGGTATGGTACAATATAAAAGCAGCGCGGTACAACTTAACGAACCGGTTCGATAAATTGTACCGTTTGCAACATTTTGAAAAAAACAGCTTGCATCAGTCTTAAATTGTGCATTTTGACAGAAACATGCCAAATTATTTTACTTTGAGGTTTCGTGCAATTTAAACAAATTACCCAACTTTACCCTATTATTGCTGCGGCTCAATCTCATATCATTCTCCTTTAATAAGAATGCAAGACACATAGTACAAATTCTTTCAAATACACCATGGTGGTAATTTATTATTAAGTTATATCCAGCAACAGCTTTGTTTACGGCTCTATCTTCGGACTCAAACACCCGAGATGATTCCTGCGAGGCCATCCAGCAGTATCAGTAACGTGACCCAATAAGGAATGACACTGATGTATTTGATACAATTCGATGGCCATGAAGAAAAGACTAAGGTCCTGCCCCTGTGCTCT